CTGATCTTTTCTGAACTTGCCTTAAGCAACCTGAAAATCCTCGCTCTTTCTTTATTACCCATGAATTACAATAGCTTAGTAAAATACACACACACACACACACACACACACACACACACCCCTCAGCGGTGATGGCATGAAACTAAGGCTCAGCAAAAAAAAAAAAAAAAAAAAAAAAACCTCCAGGTAATTTTCCTGGCCATCATTCCTGGCAGCTGCTCCTCACCTGCTGTATTCTTAGGTCTGCCAATGACGCAGTCAAAGGGATTGGAAGGGATCGAAGGAGACCCTGAAAATGCAGAATCCTCCACTGCACTCCCTGGCCACAGCAGAGAGCTGGCCTGGAAGAGGGGCAACCGGGACAGAATCCGGCGCCCCAACCGGGACTAGAACCCGGTAAGTACCTGGCTCCTGCCAACGGATCAGCGCAGTGCGCTGGCCACAGCGCGCCGGCCGAGGCGGCCATTGGAGGGTGAACCAACGGCAAAAGGAAGACCTTTCTCTCTGTCTCTCTCTCTCACTGTCCACTCTGCCTGTCAAAAAAAAAAAGAAAAAAAAGAAAAAGAAAAAAAAAAGAAAGAAAAAAAAAAAAAAGAAAATGCAGAATCCACCCAGTGCACCACCCTCCACCCCAGGCCATGCAAGTTGTACTTGGTAACAGTCCGTGCTGGGTGGACGAGGGACGGGGGTCTGGCCGTCCACCCCGCAGCACTTCAGTCACTCGCAGACGGCCCGCGGCTCGGCCCACACCGACAGGCAGGGGCATTCCCTGTGTCCTTGGTTTAGCCAGATCCCCCTTGAAGAATGAGGTGCCGCTTCAAAGAGGCAGGCGTTCCGCGGGTGGCCTTCCAGCTCCTGGCTGACTGATGCTGGAGCCCAGCCCTGCCTTTGCACAGACTCTGTCTCAGGAAGGAGATCTGCCTGACCTTTCTTTGACTAGACAACGCCGCAGCAGCTCCCAGGGACAAATGGGCCCTCCACGGAGAGGGGTGGCATTTGGAGGAGCGGCAGGAGTTCCGGGACCTCCCAGGGTCCGCTCCCTGGAGCTAGCAGCGGCCACGGAAGGGCAGGGCCTGGATGTCCGGAGGCTGAGGATCCTTGCAGGCTTTGGAGTTGGTTTTCTCCTTTAATAAACGTCAGACCCGAGGCCCGGCAGTGTGCACAGTGGCGCCCAGCACATTCTGAGTTTGTTTAGTCAGTGAGCCCGCGTAAGCGCCAGGGACCTGGTGGGATTGGTGGCAGTGAGGACCACATGCCTGGTGACCCTCTAGAAGGCAGAATGGGGAAGGGTGGCCTTGTAACAGAATTCCCCCATTGGGCTGCACTTGCTTGCATGCAAACTGGAGCACCCCAACACCATAGGATTGGTGGGTCAAATCCTGGTTATATTTTTTGAATTTAGTTTTAAAGATTATTTATTTGAAAGGCAGAGTGGCAGGGAGATGGAGAGAGAGACAGAGAGACAGAAGGAGATCTTCCATCTGCTGGTTCAATTCTCCAAATGGCCGCAATAGACGGAGCTGGGTCAAACCAAAGCCAGGAGCCTGGAACGCCATCCGGGTCTCCCATGTAGGCAGGGGTCTAAGCACTTTGGCCATCTTCTGCTGCTTTCCCAGGCTCATTATCTGGAAGCTGGATGGGAAGTGGAGCAGCCAGGCCTTGAATCAGGGTTCTGATATGGGGTGCCGGCAACGAAACGGCAGCTTACCCCCTCTGCACCACAAACACCAGCCGTCAAATCTGTGTCCTTTAACGCTGTCCCGGGGCAGGTGGTGAAGATGCCCGCGTCCCACGTCATGGTGCCTGGGTTGGGTCCCTGAGTGCAGGTCCTGACTCCAGCTTCCTGCTCACATGCACCCTGGGAGGCGGCAGGCAGTGGCTCAGAGCGGTTGGGTCCCTGCCACCCATGTGGGAAACCTGCGTGGCATCCTTGGCTTCAAGCTTCAGCCCATTGGCAGGCATTTGGGGAATGAGCTAGCAGATGCGTTCGCTCTCTCTCTCTCTCTCTCTCTCTCTCTCTGTGTGTGTGTGTGTGTGTCTCACTTTCTGTGCCTACCTCTCCAATAAATTAAAACAAAATTTTTTCAGGAGTGACAGTGTCCTCATAAAACCCACTCCAAGCCTAGATTCCACGCGTGGCTTGGTCAGACAGGCAGGCTGCACGCGCTTGCCTCCCGGGGTTCTGCAGGGCCTTGCTCACCACCAGGGGAAGTCCCTATGCCCTCATTCCCTCCAGAACGTTCCCCTGGGACCTTCAAGAGTTGGCACTGGGTGTCCCCAGGGGAGTGGCGGTGGCGCCTGGCCCCCCAAGGCGGGAGTGTGCGATAGGCATGGAGAAGCTGCTTTGTTCCTGCTTTCATGCTATCAGATTGAAGTCCATCACCAGGAATATCTTAAAGACCACAGCCCTGGGGCCAGGGTGTGCCTCCCTGCACTGGCTACTGCCCTGCACCCTGAGAGAGCGTTGCTGGGGGCGGGCGGGGAGCGCGTGAGCCCCCACACCTCTGTGATAGAGCGCCTTCTGCCTCCTTAGAGTGGATCAAGCCATTGTCCCAGAGGACTGCCTTCCCCAGAGACATTCAAGACACTTAATTCAATAGCATAAATAACCACCGAAAAAGCTGAAGGCGTTCTCTAGAGTGCAGAGGGAGGCATGGGCTGCGAGGCCCTACCCGGGGGCCCGCACACCGCTGTCCGCCTGATGGGGGTCTCTCCGAAGCTTCCTTCCAGAAGTGAAATGAGAATCACACGATTAAAATGCTCGCAGTTGGGGCTGATGCGCCCGATCCGACTGAAGAATGAAGAAGTGGACACGCCAGCGCCTTGCAGCAGCGATTGTCTCTGTAATTAGGTGCAATTAGCTGACATCACTTGTCTGCCTTTCTCCACGGAAGACTGATTGAAATGCTCATTTAAAAAAAAAAAAAAAGCATGCCCCCCCCCCCCCTCTGACTTATTTTTCCGAGTTCTGGCTGTTGATGGAAACTCTCGGGCTCTGTAAAAAGGTGCCTCTGGGGGTTTAATCAGGGCACGTGCAAGCCACCTGAGGCTGGGGACACGCGCCCAGCCACTTGTCTCCCATCCAGTTACTAACCAGGCCCGACCCTGCTTAGCTTCCAAGATCAGAGGAGATCGGGCGCGTTCAGGGTGGTATGGCCGTAGACGTGCCCGGCCACTTGTAAGGAGTCGTGAGAAGCGTTCCAAAGCAGAACGTGTGTATCCCAGAGCAGTGATTTTCCTTCATCATTGCTTAGTGAGCAGACACTGGTATGGCCCCAAAAGGCTGCCAGAGTTCTCACAGGTTAGAGGTGACTGCTTCTATGTTTTACTTTATTTCTTTGAAAGGCGGAGTGACAGAGAGAGTGACACAGAGAGAGAGATTTTCCATCCTCTGGTTCACTCCCCAAATAGCCACAACAGCCGGGACTGCGCCAAGGCCACACTCGGGAGCCAGGATCTCCATCCAGGTTCCAGGCACTTGGGCCATCTTCTGCTGCTCTCCCAGGCACATTAGCAGGGAGCGGGATCCGAAGTGGAGTGGTGGGACTCAAACTAGCACTCTGGTATGGGATACCAACATCACAGATGGCTCCGACGCCAGCCCCGATGACTGCTTTTAGAGCATGATTGCTTACCAACATCTTCAGAGACGGAGTATGCTGAAAAAATGGCTGCTGGGTCCGGCGCTGTGGCAGTGGGCTAAGCCTCTGCCTGCGGCACCGCCATCCCATATGGATACCGGTTCGAGTCCTGGCTGCTCCTCTTCTGATCCAGCTTTGCTATGGCCTAGGAAAGCAGTGGAAGATGGCCCAAGTGCTTAGACCCATGTATCCATGTTGTAGATCTGGAAGAAGCTCCTGGCTTTGGCCTGGCCCAGCCCTGGCCATTGCAGCCATCTGGAGAGCAAACCAGAGGACGGAAGTTTCTCTCTCTCTCTCTTTCTCTCTCTCTCCCTCTTTCTGTAACTCTTGACTTTCCAACAAATAAATATTTTAAATAATAACAAATAAATAAAGTTCAAAGAAGCCAGTATTTGGCACAATGCTTAAGACACTCCTGTGGGGTATCCACAGCCCACAGCAGAGTGCCTGGTTCAAGTCCCAGCTACTCCACTTCGGGTCCGCAGCTTTCTGCTACTGCGCATTCTGGGAGGCGGCGGATGCTGGCTCAGGCGCTTGGGTCCTGCCAGCTCGGGGGAAACCCAGACTGAGTTCAGACTCCTGACTGGTCTGGCCCGGCCCTGATTGTTGCAGGCGTTTGGGAACTGAACCAGTTAGATGGAAGGTCTTTCTCTGTCTCTCTGCCTTCCACATAAAACGAAAATGAATAAAATAAAGATTCATAATATTTTTAAAAGTTTCTGAATAAAATTTTACAAACTTGGCCATCCTTTTATTATTGGACATGTAAATCAGTCACAGTATTTTGCTATTATAATAATACAAAAAGGATATATTGTCACAAAAACCAGCAGATTTGATTTTTTTTGTTTCCTCAGAAAGTGTTCTTTGCATTGCAATCTCCTGGGTCAAAGGTTGGCATCATTTTTGGAGACTTTTGGTTCGCACTGGCTAAGTACTTTGCCAAAAATCGACGGACGGGTATTGCCACCAGTGAGGTCAGAGGTTGCCCAGCCCCCTCCCTCCCCGCCAGCCTCCTCCATCACTGAGAACCGTCTCTGGGACTAACCCTCGGGAACCCTGGGCACCCTTTCCTGCAGGAAGCTCCTTGTGAAACAGATCAGCTGGGGCTGGGGCCAATCTGTAGCCACCCCTGCATTGCCCAGGCTTCCGCCTGTGCGTCCAGCAGAGGTGAGGGCTCACGAGGACCATCCAGGGCGAAGGGCCAGCCACAGCAGCTACGTTACAGCCCTGAGCAACTGGAGAGCAGCCAGCTGCTGACATCGGAGCGGACTTGACCCATCAGGCTGAGCTGGAGTCGGCGCCCCGCCCTCCCCCATCCCCAACCCCGCCCCACCCACCGCCCTCCCTGTTTTGCAGCTGTGTTGAAGAAGGATGGGCATGAGGTCGTCCTGGAGAAGATAGAAGACTGGGACGTGGTGGAGCTGGTGGTGAACGGGGAGGTTGTCTTCCACTGTAACATTAAGGACCTGGAATTTGGTAAGTAAGCCCCGCCGGAACCAGTCCCCCGGTGTCCAGCTGAAATGGTGGCTGAGTGGGATCTGGATTCCAACTGGGTTTCCTCCGCGACTTTGAGTGCACACCCAAAGCCCCATACTCAGTCAGCGGCACAGACAGGAGGGCCCCCTACACCACACGCGGTGAAATGCCAGACCCGCGGGAACACGAGCAGAAAGGGAAGGAAGTGGGGCCCTGGACTTGAAATGATAGGATGGGATTTAAGGAGAGCAGGATGAAGGGCTTAGTGTTTGAATAATGTGTGATTTAATTATCTGCTCCCAAAGTTATTTTGTGTTCCGTTTGATTATCCTGTCTCCACCTGCAAAGACAATTATGCCCGCAGCGCGTGGCATTCTCAGCTCCATTCTAGGAGTGTTTCACCCCTGGAGAGATTCTGGCCTGGCAGGCTGGCACCCTGCAGCCTCGCTGTGCTCGCTGTGCTCAGAGTAAGAGCTTCTTCTGTGTCCCCCCCCCCCCCCCCCACGACTCCGCTAAAGACCCATTAACACTTTACACGCCGGTGGCCTCTGAAAATGCACTCCTCATGGAAGCCGCTAATTCATCACCCAACTGTGTGTGAAGCTGGCCAGAGAACATTGTTTCCCCAGGAGGTGACGGTAAACTCGACCCGCTGTGCGAAGAGGCGAGGGTAGCTGTGCTGAAAGCCTACTGAGCTCCTGGAGCTGCACCTGCAGGCGGCGTGGTGGGGCCGGGCCACCAGGCTCTGCCAGGCCGAACAAAGCGACACCAGCCCGTCCTTTGGCCCGAGCTGCATCAGGTTTCTGACCTGCTGCAGAGGGACCTGCGAAAATAATAAAACCGCATCCTGGGCGGCAGCTCTCAATCACGACCCATAGGGAGAGCCTCCGATATCAGGTGCACGATGAGCTGAAAGAAATAATAAATGCAATCTAATAACAGCGCCATCCCTTCCTAATAACGCATCGTTGCCAGAAGCACCTTCGACTCTACCCCGTAGTAAGCGGAGAGCTACGAACAGGAGAAATTAAAGAGAGGTTGGGGGCGCAGCTGGGAATAGAGGCCTTTGGAGTCTGAACCGAACGTGGACGTCCGTATTTGGAAATCCGGCTGTTCCTGCAGACTCGTGTCTTGCTCCTGGTGCTATAAGAACCTAAAGTTGCTCATAGAAAGGTAGCAGAGGGGCAGGCATTTAGCAGATCTGCCCGACACCCGCATCCCATAGCAGAGTGCCTGGGCTTGAGTCCCAGCTCACATCCTGATTCCAGCTGCCTGCCTGTGTGCACCCTGGGAGACGGGGTGATGGCTCCAGTAACTGAGTCCCTGAACACCCACATGGGAGACCTGGATGGAGGCTCCTGGCTCCTGGCTCCTGCCTGGCCCGGCTCCAGCCACTGCAGGCATTTGGGGAGTGTGAACCACTGAATGGGCTGTCTCTGTCTCTCTCTCCCTGTCACTTTGCTTTTCAAATAAATAATTTACAAAAAAAAAAAAAATAGCTCAAACTGAATCTTCATTTATCCTCATTTAAAACAAGAAGACTGGGGCGGGTGTTGTTAAACCACTGGGGTCACCCACATTGCATATCAGGTGCCCGCTGGAGTCTCAGCTACTCTGCTCCTGATCCAGCTTCCTGCTAATGCGTCCTGCAAGGCAGCTGGTGATGGCCCACTACTTGGGTTCCTGTTACCCATAAGGGAGACCTGAATGGAGCTCTGGGCTCTTGGCTTCAGTCTGGCCCAGCCCTGGCTGTTAGGGGCATTTGGGGAATGAATTGATGAATGGAAGATTTCTCTCTCTCTCTCTCTTGCTCTTTGTTACTGTGCCTTTCAAGTGGGTGAGAATAAATAAACATCTACAAGTAAGGCAAGGTAGTCTGCCTCCTGTTGCATTTGCCAGTATAGTGGGCTGAATCTGAGGAAAGCCTGAAAGAATTGTGGGCAGAAGTAAAAGGAACAGGACGCAGTTCCAGAAAGTGAAAGAGGGGTTTTGCTACCAGCACTTGGGCCATCTTCCACTGCTTTCCCAGGCCACAGCAGAGAACCGGATCAGAAGTGGAGCAGCCAGGACTCGAACCAGTGCCCATATGGGATGCCGGCACTGCAGGTGGCGGCTTTACCTGCTACACCACAGGGCCGGTCCCTCGCACCTGATGCTTGATGGGCGTGAGAAGGGTTCCTGGGAGATGCCTGTGCCTGGGGCTCTGTGTTCCTGTCTCATGCAGAGGTGAATGATATCTGCACCTGTGTTACTGGGAAAAGGCACAGGTGACCAGGGTTACCCCTGGGTGAGAGGATGGGAGAGGGGTGGGGGTGGGACGGAGAGGGGAAGGAGCCTACGGGGGGCTATCATTTTTTCCGTATTGTACATGTTTTCATTCATAGGATTGATTTTGGCTTTACCTGCGAGTGTGTTTTTCAAATAAACATTTAAAAGACTGCGATGTGGCGCAGCAGGTGAAGCTGCCATATGTGGCACTGGCTCCCATATCAGAGCACTGGTTGGAGTCCCCATTGCTCCACTTCCAATCCAGCTCCCTGCTAATGCACCTAGGAAGGCAGTGGAAGATGGCCCAAGTGCTTGGGCCCCTGCACCCACATGAGAGACCCAGAAGGAGTTCCAGGCTCCTGGCCTTGGCTTGGTCCAGCCCCAGCTGTTACAGCTATTTGGGGAGTAAATCAGTGGCTCTCTCTCTCTCTCTCTCTGTCTCTTAAATAAAATTAAAAAGAAAAATAGTTCTTAGGGGGGAAATGCATTTAAATAAAACCCTTTAAAAAACAAAATCAAGACCTTGACCCGAAGTCCGTGGGGTGCGAGCGCCCTGGCACTGATGAAGTGCCCTCGGCACCACCTCCCTCCGTCTTCCGTCTCCTGCAGCAGAGTTTCCCCTGCAGAGAATCACAGGCCTGAGTGCCTCTTAGTGCTCTGAAAGCAACACTAATTGAGTCCCGTTAATTGAAAGTTTTATAAATCCCAAAGCAATGGCAATGCTACTGGAAAAGAAAGTGTCTTTTAGAGTAAAATTAGAAGTGTGGCTCCATCCATTTTAAAATGAAACTTGGCGATCTCAACTTTGTTCCTGTAGTTTTCAGATTTGGGATGAATGGACCTTGGTGAGGAGGGGGAGCTGCCTGGGGCTGTGACACCTGTTCCCCTGGTGGGTTTATCCTTAAGAACCCCTGACAAAGGAACTTTAGGACAAGATCATGTTACTGGCCAGCGCTGCGGCTCACTAGGCTAATCCTCCGCTTTGCGGCGCCGGCACATGGGGTTCTAGTCCCGGTTGGGGCGCCAGATTCTGTCCCGGTTGCTCCTCTTCCAGGCCAGCTCTCTGCTGTGGCCCAGGAAGGCAGTGGAGGATGGCCCAAGTGCTTTGGCCCTGAACCCCATGGGAGACCAGGAGAAGTACCTGGCTCCTGCCATCGGATCAGCGCGGTGTGCCGGCCGCGGCAGCCATTGGAGGGTGAACCAACGGCAAAGGAAGACCTTTCTCTCTGTCTCTCTCCCTCTCACTGTCCACTCTGCCTGTCAAAAAAAAAGACTCAAAAAAAAAAATCATGTTACAAAAGAACTGCATTCAAAATCAGTTCTCAGCGGCGCCGGCACACCGGGTTCTAGTCCCGGTTGGGGCGCCGGATTCTGTCCCGGTTGCCCCTCTTCCAGGCCAGCTCTCTGCTATGGCCAGGGAGTGCAGTGGAGGATGGCCCAGGTGCTTGGGCCCTGCACCCCATGGGAGACCAGGAAAAGCACCTGGCTCCTGGCTCCTGCCAGGATCAGCGCGGTGCGCCGGCTGCAGCGGTGGCCATTGGAGGGTGAACCAACGGCAAAAGGAAGACCTTTCTCTCTGTCTCTCTCTCTCACTGTTCACTCTGCCTGTCAAAAAAAAAAAAAAAAACAAAAACAAAAAAACAAACAAAAAAAAAAACAAAATCAGTTCTCAGGGTGAGAATTTTGCACAGCTGTTAAGATGCCACTTGGGGGGCCAGCGCTGTAGCGTAGTGGGTAAAGCCACTGCCTGCAGTGCCAGCATCCCATGTGGGCACCAGTTAAAGTCCAGGCTCCTCCACTTCCTATCCAGCTCTCTGATGTGGCCTGGGAAAGCAGTGGAGGATGGCCCAAGTCCTAGGGCCCCTGCACCCACATGGGAGACCCAGAAGAAGCTCCTGGCTCCTGGCTTCGGATTGGCTCAGCTCTGGCCATTGTGGCCAACTGGGGAGTGAACCAGCAGATGGAAGACCTCTCTCTCTGCCTCTCCTTCTCTCTAACTCTACCTCTCAAATAAATACGAAAAACATTTTTTTTTTTTTGAAGAAAGTGAGATACACGTGGATGAGAGCACTTTTGATTAGGTTCTGAGTCAACACAGAGCCGCCACTAGTCAATAGGAAAGAGACGAACAGCTCCACAGGGGAGAAGGGAGGGGGGCAAAGGAAATGAAGAGAAGACTCGCAGGAGTGGAAACACAGACACAGGAGCAGCCGTCTTAACCTCTCACACTGTGATCAGTGTGCACTGAAACTGGGACACTAAGAAGAAGTGCTAACGTTCCACGTGGCTGAGAACACCGGGACGCAGACATAGGCGTGGAAACTGATCAAAACCCCTGCAGAGCAAAGGGGTGGTACTTGTCAGAAAGCGTAAAGCAGGTATCCCCCGATTCAGTAGACGGCCCTTGAGAGATGTGCCCTAAAGAAACTCAGCTACGCTGACGCAGGCATGTACCTGCAGGCACAGAGCGATTCTTTGCAGCGAAGACCGGCTAACAAGGGGATGGTTAAACACAGCGGGCTCATGCATGCTGTGGGGTCTGATGTGTTTGGTCACAAGAACCAGAGAGCCCTTTGGGATGCTGCTGTGGAGAGAGCTTCCAGATACATTGCTTAAGTCATAAAGGCGTGGCACAGGGACTGGCATTGTGGGCACAGCGGGTTAAGCTGCCACCTGCAACATCGACATCCCGTATGAGTGCCAATTCAAGTTCTCGGAGCTCCACTTCTGATCTAGCTCCCTGCCGATGAGCCTGGGAAGGCGGCAGTCAGATGGCCCAAGGACTTGGGCTCCTGCCACCTATATATGGGAGACCTGGAAGAAGATCCTGTCTCCTGGCTTCGGATCAGCGCCGCCTCGGCCACTGTACCCAATTAGGGAGTGAACCAGCAAATGAAAGATCTCTTTCTATAATTCTGCCTTTCAAATAAATAAATAAATCTTTTTTAAAAAATGCATGGCACGAAGTCATATATTTATTATGTTACAATTTATGAAAACCGAGAACATATACATACACATCATCGAATCTGCTTAAAACACGTAGAAACAGGACGTAGCTACCTCTAGAGAGGGAGAGCTTTTCACCATACACCCCTCTTATATTTTAAATTTGCATTTCAGTTTGTAAATGTTGTATGGCTTATTCAAAAACAAAGTTTCAAAAACCAGAGCAGGTGGGTTGACACTGATGGAGAAAGCAGAACCCAGAACGGAAACAGCAGAAGATCATGGAACATGCATGAGGCAAGAAACAACAGAGAGGTTCTTCAGACCTGCCAGAGCATTTGGTGTTTGCACAAAGACCCCAGCCATTTGCCTCAAGAAGCGGTGCAAGGGGCTGGCGTTGTGGCACAGCAGGTTAAGCTGCTGGCTAGCGACATCACATCCCGGGTGAGCGCTGGTTTGGGTCCCAGCTGCTCCACTTCCAACCCAGCTCCCTGCTAATGCACCTGGGACGGCAGCAGAAGTGTCTGGGCCCCTGCCACTCATGGGGGAGACCCAGACGAAGCTCCTGGCTCTTGGGTTAGGCCTGGCCCTGCTCTAGCCATTGTGGCCATTTGGTAGAATGAACCAGTGGATGCAAGATCTCTTTTTCTGTCTCCCTTTCCCTCTCTCTCACTCTGCCTTTCAAATAAGTAAAATACATCTTTTAAAAATACATACAGTTATTAGGTATCAAAAATAAAATGTTTTTTAAAAGGTTAAAAAAAAAAAAAGTATCCCTCAGACTGCTCTGTCGCCCAGCCCGTCCCTCCTTCTCCCCATCCCCTGGTCCCAGTGGGCAGACACAGAGCAGCACCTTGTCCTGGGCTGTGAGCCAGGACCCCAGGCTCTTCATCAACGTCTGGGAGTTCAGGGAGGGGACTCCTGCAAAGTCGGAGCTCAAGCCCGGGCCTGCGGGACCCAGGCCGAGCTGGGACAGCGGCTCTGGCCAGCCCCGCGTTGCTGCACCAGGGAGAGGGAGCCTGGACTCGCTTCATTAGCCGGGGAGAGGGTGCTGGGACACGCCAGGGCTCCTGGCAAAGGAGCGGCGGTGAGAAAAGCGATGGCATCGGCGATGCGTTTCGGAAGAGAGCCTTGTGTTCCAGAATGTTCTTCCATTTGTCATGGTGACAGCTGCTGTTTCCCAGACAGCCTGTTCTTCGCATCATGTGGTTGGCAAGATCTCAGCAAAAGCAAAAAACCAAAAAAAAAGTGCCCAGAACAAGACGCTGTCAGGTGCACCCGCGAGGGAGGGAGGTGCTCACCCAGGAGCAGGTGTGACGTCAGGCGGAATGGAAGTCTCCGTGTTGTCACTGTAAAACTGGGGGCGGGAGAGTCCGTCCCTCCTGGCACTCTTCCGAGGACAAAGGGAAAGAATGCAGGGGGAGCAGACTCCCCATGGACACGGAAGCTGGAAGCCGTCCTTGGATGCTCTCTGTTAGACCTCCTGGGGTTCTCTGATGCTTCCCCCTGGTTACTCGTCCCGTGGGGAACACATGCCTGACCCAAGCCTAGTACCCAGGAAGCCGAGGCACCTCCTCTCTTTGCCGAGATGGAAGTGACCTCGGGGTATTTTCATTTTGCACATCGGCGGAGAGGCAGGTGACAGACAGCGTGTGGAGGGCGATAATTTGTAGCATTGTCTACTCCAGCCTCCAATTTTTCAGCATTCCCACCCTTTATGCTGGAAATTTCCTTGAGTATTCAAAGAGAAAGGAGCCCCTCTGTTCCCCATATAGGAAGAAAACCTATGAACCCCAGAGGGTCCCACAGGGACCAGCCTGGCTGGGCATCTAGTGGCCACCGTGGACAGAGCACTGGGTCGGCCGCCCTACAGGCACAGCAGACCTCAGTCCCTACAGGACTCCAAGATAAAGGAAAGGAGGACTCCCCAGCCCCTCCCTGCAGAAATGCAAATCACCTTGGGGCGGGGAGGGGGGCCCATAGAAAACTCCCCCTAACTGAGGAAGTACGGCAGTTGTAACTCTGCTTCTTGGACTGCAGCTGCAAGGTTGCACTGAGCAGCC